CGGGACCCCATTTGGGGTCGATCGACCATTTCACGGGGGTCGCCAAGCAAGGCTGTCCGCCATTTTTTTTGTCTGCCATTTTTTTTGTCCGCCATTTTTTTCCCCTTTTCCGGCGGGTGCCTTACCTCCCTTGGGCTGGGCCAGCTGGTGGTCGGCCTGCTCCGTCTCTGCCGCTTGCCAGCTACGCCTTGGCCGGCGCAGGCGGCGGAACCATGCATGCGCAGTGCTCCCGGGCAGGGAAAGTCCTCGACTTACGACTGGTTGGGTAGTCCTCAACTTACGACCGGTTTAGTCCTCGACTTATGACCGGTTTAGTCCTCGACTTACGACCGGTTTAGTCCTCGACTTATGATCGGTTGGGGTCGCGGCATTAAAAAGGTTGAGAACCACTGGGTTAAGGCATCAAGCTAGGAACCAGGAAACTAGTTCTGCCTTAGGCACAAAGCCAGATGGGGTAGCTTTGGGCCAGTCACTCTCTCTCAGCCCTAGGAAGGAGGTAATGGCAAACCACTTCTGAAACACCTTGGCAAGAAAACTGCAGGGACTTGTCCAGGCAGTTGCCCAGAGTCACAAATTCATTCTCTCTCTTTCTCTCCCTCCCTCCCTCTCTCTCCTCTCTCTCCTCTCCCTCACGCACACACAGACTTGAGTGCACACACACAGACTTGAGTGCACACACACACACAAATGAGAAATCTTAAGCTAGATCTTGAAGAATGATGTTTTCTGACACCATCTGGTGGCAATTGCTCAAAGCACACTTGTGAGTCAAAAAAATGAAGCTATAAAGCAGGGGTGTCAAACTGCCGGCCCGCAGGCCAGATGCATCATAGCAAAACTGCGCCCACCCCATTGCCGGCAATGGCAAAAAAAGTCATGATACGTCGCAATATATTGCTATAAAGCAATATATTGTTTTTAAAAAAACCATAATTTGCTATCCTCAAAATCCATTAAATGACTTCATAAACTTTCCCAATAAATAACTTTGCATAACACTCTAAGACGGTACAATTGTACACCCTTTAATAAGCTGAGTTTTAGGTTTGGGTGTTGCTCTTTGGAGAATGATTTGGTATATGAATGCCCATTCTTTGATTACAAAATGGCTTTGGTTATTGTGCAATCAAAGTAATTCATCATCAAATCAAAATTTATTTCTGGTCCAAGATGAATCATAATAAAAGACCAGCATAGAATGTAGTAACTAGAAAAAGAGATTTTAAAATTGCAAGAAAACCCTAAAGCAATTAGCAACTACAGTAATTCAGTAACTGGTTTAAACATACTGTGAACTTATCTATTGTATACTGTAGGTAGGATTATATTGGATTTTTTTCTTAAATCCCTGTGGTTCCCTTCAAATTTAAATTCCCTATGTTGAAGCTAGATAAATCAGATTAGATTGCAATTCACCAGCCAATATGAAATGCCATTGATTTCCTTTATGCAAACTCCCATCTATTTTATTTAGCTTCAGCCTGCATCACCCACCTGATGGGAATTTTCTTTGAAAATTATTTAGCTGCTAAAGAAAACCCAGTGTTTCTTCAGCCAGGGAGAAATTGGTTGTACTGCATAGGAAACAGTTTTCATCTGACTGAGATACATGTACCAACCAAAGGGAAGAAAAGTAAAAATATTTATTATGTTTTTAAGTAATTTTAATTCTTACTGAGGAACTAGAGATAATTATAGGCCAAATCAGCACTAATTATATCCGTTCCTTAGTCAAACTGATCAAGAAAAGTAGAAAATGAGCTAAATTTATCATCATTACTTAAAAGGAGCTTTGCTATTTGTAATTTCCTTAGCAATGGAATACAGTGATCAATTTATTAATTTTGAAATGTACAGCTAATAAGTAGATATCACTATAGCAGCAGATGTAATTCTTGTAGAAAACAAGTGCATAAAACTGAAGAGTTTAGTATGCAGAAATAGTCATTCAGACGATACATCCAAGTGGAAAGGTAATTGTTTATACAGTTCAACAATAAATAAAAGGTATACAAAACAAGAGAGCAGGGCACCTGATCTCATTTGTATATAACAAACTGATTGCAACATCCTATTCATAAACCTTTGCTTGCAGGAAGTATGATCACTGGGTCCAGGGAGATCCTCCTGGAGTGGTTAGTGATCTTTTTGGGGCAACTTTGTTAATATGGCAAGATTAAGTTTGCAAATATATTACATAAAACTGTTCTCAGAACACAAGGTTCCATACCAAGTGGAACCAGAAGTGCTTTTTCCAAAAGGCAACTGGACTTTCTTTTTTTTTCCTTTGAAAACATTTCTTATCCAAGAAGCCTCTTTAACTGAATTTCCTTCCTTCGCTTCTTGGATGTGAAGCAAAATGTTTTTTTAAAAAAACCCAAGAAAATACAATTTCCTTTTGGAAAAGGCACCCATGGGACAACCATAGACGTACCGAGTAGAAAAAAAGAAGGAAGAATAGTATTTTGGATAATGAGCTATATAAGGTAGCCAACCACAATTGGGATATGTTAGATCTAAAACCTGGCTCATCATTATTGGTCAGGAAAGGCTTCCTCTTACCATATTTTGCTATTATTTTGTCAGCACACTTTGTAGCAGACCCTTATGCTCTACAGCAGGGGTCTCCAACCCCAGGTCCGTGGACCAGTACGGGGCCATGGCATGCCAGCAACCGGTCCGCACAAACGAGCAAAGCCCCGTTCCGCAGGATGCAGGCAGCACACAAAATCACGCCCCCTCCAGTCCACAGAAAAACCTCTCTCCACGTATCTGGTCCTTGGTGCCCCAAAGGTTGGGGCCCTCTGCTCTACAGGCCTGTTCTCCATTCACCCAGCTATGCCTTATTTTGTGACCTATCCCAGCCGGCCCTTGGAGACGTCTCATGAGAACCACCATTAGCAACTCCCTAGCCAAATGCTAATTGAACCCATTTCTCAGCAGTGAGACAAATGCAAATGCATTATGTTAGACAGAAAGAGCCTGGCCACGGGAAGGGCATTGCTAGTTAATATTAAGCACTCTGTGCAGCCTGTTTTAATTACACGGCCTACTAATTGTGGAAATGCCTCCTGGGTGCTAAGTAGCTCTGAAGTGTAAGCAACTTCTGCTTCTTTTCACCCCTCCCTGCAT